AATTTTGCAGCATTTCATTAACTTATTCAAAAATGCAAAGATGTGATATCTTGTTGACTGAGAAAATATTAAATCTGCAATGGATAAAGGAGTGCTGAGCAACAATCTGCTGGGAACAATCATTGGGAAAGAAAACATACAGTAGTCATAATAATAATAAAACTTGCATTTGATATAGCGTCTTATCACATCTTCAAGACTTCTCAAAGTGCTTAAGAGAATGTATTGGAAAGTAAATTGACTATTTTGTGGGCAAAACATAGCAGTCAATTGCGAACAGCAGTGTCCCACAGACAGTAGTGGATTGAGTGACCACATTATTAGTTTTTTTAAACGATTAATCCCCCAGAATGTGATCCAAATCAACTAACAACTGGGTTCATACTTACTGCTAGGTAAACAAAGGTGTGTGGAGTAAGGAAGCGTGACTAACATTTCACCCTCTCCGCGAATCAAACCCAGGTTCTCTTGCTTGCGAGGCGAGTGCTCCAACTTCAAAGCTACAGGACTTCACAACTTTGTCTTTCCCTTTTGAAAGCTTATGTGGATTCTGCCTCATGCACTGTTCCCAGCAGAATATTCCATACCTTAACCCTCTGTGTGTGAAACTGTCTCTACTAACCACTCTATTGCTGGTTTACTAGCACTCTTACATTGCTGCCCTCTAGTTACTGACTCACCGACCAGTGGGATTACTGTCTCCCTGTATCGAAACCCCTCAACATTTTAAACACCTTGATCAGGTCTCTCTCAGCCTCTGTTCCAGTTGAAAAAGTACCAGTTCCTTCAGTCTCTGCTCATAGGCCAAACCACTCCTCCCAGTGTCCCCGAGTAAATCTCCTCTACACCCCAGCGGGTGTGTGACTAGCACTGGACACAATATTCTAACTGGTTTAGTTAATGATTTATATAAGTTAGCATCACCTCTTTGCTTGTATATTCTATTCCCCTATTTATAAACCTAGGATTCCATTAATTTTCTTGACATCTTTGTCCACCTGCATTTCCACCATTAAGGATTTGTGTACATTTATATTTAATCTCCAAGTCCCTCTGGTCTAACACTCCTTTTAATGTTTTACCACTCACCGTATACTCACTCTCATTATTCATCTGCCTAAAATATATAACAGCACATTCACCTGCATTAAACTCCATTTGCCATCTCTCTGCCCAATGCCTGATGTACCTATCCCCCTAAATGGAGAAAAGCAGTGGCTCTAACAGGGCCCCTGAGCAACATCACTGTTTACATCTCCATGGTGAATACCCTATACTCCCCAAACTGCTGTTTGCTCACACTCAATGACACACACAATACACTCACACACACTTCACTCACTCACTCACTCACTCACACACTCTTGAACCCACTTGGCTAAAAGAGTGGTGCGGAACTCAGAGGTTTCTTTTTATGGGCCATTGGCACAAGTATTGGAGGAAAATAGAGCTCTTTCAGAGAAAAGGGCTGCATTTAAATTGTGCTGAGACAAATGTCCGAGCTAAACTAATTAACAGGGAAATAAATAGGAATTTAAACTAGTAAAGGGGGGAATATATAGGTAAGAGAAACCATAAGTTAGCATTAGAAACAGTAAAGATGACAGTGCAGAATAGCCTGCCAGATAATAGGAATATGTTAACGAGGGGTAAAAAGCTTGGCAAAGCCGATAAGCAATCAGAGGGTTAGGGTTAGGGTTAGGGTTAGGAAATGGTCGAAATTAAAAATGTTATATCTGAATGTGCGAAGCATTCGGAATAAAACTGATGATTTAAAAGCACAGATAGACACATATGGGTACGATCTGGTAGCCATCACTGAAACATGGTTACAAGGAGATCGAGGGGGAGTTAAATATTCCAGGGTTCTCAGTTTACAGGAAAGATAGGCACTGTGAGAAACGAGGTGCGGGGGGGGAGCCCTGTTAATTATGGATTAAATAAAAGCAGTGGAGAGGAAGGATTTGAGATCCGATGACCAGGAAGTCGAGACAATATGGGTGGAAATAAACAATAATAAAGGGCAGAAAATATTAATGGGAGTGGTTTATAGACCCCCAAACAGCGATCACAATATAGCACAGGGTATCAATCAGGAAATCAGTGGAGCGTGTAGGAAAGGTAAAGCGATAATAGTGGGCGAGGGTGAGGGTGATGGGGTCGGGGAGGGTGGGGGTGATGGGGTCGGGGGAGGGTGGGGGTGATGGGGTTGGGGGAGGGTGGGGGTGATGGGGTTGGGCGAGGGTGGGGGTGATGGGGTTGGGCGAGGGTGGGGGTAATGGGGTTGGGCGAGGATGGGGGTGATGGGGTCGGGTGAGGGTGAGGGTGATGGGGTTGGGCGAGGGTGGGGTGATGGGGTCGGGCGAGGGTGAGGGTGATGGGTTCGGGCGAGGGTGAGGGTGATGGGGTTGGGCGAGGGTGGGGGTGATGGGGTCGGGCGAGGGTGGGAGTGATGGGGTCGGGTGAGGGTGATGGGGTTGGGCGAGGGTGGGGGTGATGGGGTCGGGCGAGGGTGGGAGTGATGGGGTCACGGAGCCTGATGAGTGAGAGTACATTAGCTGCAGAGTTTTGGATGATCTGCAGCTTTTGAAGAGAAGCGTTCGGAAGGCCGATGAGGAGGGAGTTCCTGTAATCGAGCCTTGAGGTGACAAATGCGAGGGTGAGGGTTTGGGGGCCTGAGGGGTGAGGCAGTGGCGGAGTCTGGCAATGTTGAGGAGGTGGTAGGCAATGCCGGTCATGGCGCGGATGTGGGGGAGAAAGGACAGTTCAGGGTCCAACAAGACACCCAGGTTCCTGACTGGCTTAGTTTCGCCCTGACAGGAATCAAACCAGATCCTCTCACTTGCGAGGCGAGTGCTCTAACCACTGAGAATGAGAACGTCGTCTGAACATATGTTTGACTAAGAGTTGGAGAACTTGCGGTAACCAAGGCTGAGGTATGAGTTGAATTGTGTGCTCTAGACCCTCACCTGTGACCAGGCTGGACACAATGAGCGGCAGCACCAGCATCTGTAACATGCGCATCAGGAGCTCCCCGGGAAATGAGAAATATCTGACTTGACGAAAGTTCATGTGGTATTTTCTGAGGCTGAAGCCAAGGATAATTCCTGGAGGAGAAGAAGAGTCATTTCAACAACACGTGACATTTACACAGCGTCTTTCAAGTCAGGAGGTTGTCCCAAGGCATTGGACAGTCAGGGATTTGCACCTGAGCTGGGGGTTGCGATCAGGAGGGTGGAGGGCCGGCCGCCGATGGTGGGGCGGGCTGGGCAGGGGACATGGAGCAGACCAGAGGCTGCTGAGTGGAGGAAATGGAAAGGTTGATACGGGGTCAGCAGGTCACAGAGGTAGGGAGGAGCAATGCCGTGGAACACAGAGAGACACCTGTACACACAGTAACTGCAGCACAGAGCGTGGCTGAGACAACAACAAAAATGACATTTGTACAGCGCCTTTCAAGTCGGAAGGACATCGCAAGGTGCTGGACAGTTAAGGGTTTACAGCCAAGAAAGCTGTTGGAATCAAGAGGTTTAGAGGGTAAAAACAGAGGGTAAGATGGAGGGCCTCCAGGTTGGAGTTCCAGAAGGTGGGAGCATAAAAGCTGAGGGTCTCGGCAGCCTAGGGGGAGAGATAGTGGCGGTGGCAGGCAATGTTGCGGAGGTGGGGGAAGGCAGATCGGGTCATGACATGGATGTGGGGTTCAAATGATAGTTGAGGGTTGAACAGGACACAAAGATTCTGTAATGGCTCAGTGAGGTGGAGTGAGCAGCTGTGGATGGTGATGCTGTCAGCGCCTGAGGTGAGGAGGAGCTGACGGGAACCATAAGAGCCTCGGTTTTGTTGACGTTCAACTGAAAAACGTTAGCTCTCATTCAGGACTTGACATCTGACAGACATTTTGTCAGGACAGCAGTGGGTCCTGGAGTCAAGGGTGAAGGAAGAGAGGTACAGTTTGGTGTCATCTGCACACATGTGGGAGTTGACCCCATGTCTGCGGATCATGTCACAAAGAGGGAGCATATAGATGTTGAAGAGGAAGGGACCAAGCACAGAGTCCTGAGGAATGCCGCACGAGACGGTGCGGGGGCTAGAGGAGAAGCTGTTTGTGGAGATGAAGTGGAGGCAGTGTGAGAGGTTAGAGTGAAACCAGGAGTAAAACAGAACCATGAAGGTGGAGCTGAGAGGAAGGGCGGTGGAGGATAGAGTGGACAACAATGTCCAAGGCAGCAGAGAGATCGAGAAGCACAAGGAGACAGAGAGAGCCCAGGTCACAGATGGACAGAACGTCATTTGTATCTTTGACCAAGGCTGTCTCTGAGCTATGGGCAGGAAACCAGATTGGAGGGATTCATATAGGGACTGGCGGGAGAGGAATGTGCAAAACTGGGAAGCAATGATTTGTTCAAGGACCTTGGGAAGAAAGGGAGGTTGGAAATCGGGTGGTAGTTGGAGAACAAGGTTTGGTCCAGGGAAGGCTTTTTGAGCATGGGGGTGATGATGGCTGTTTTTGAGGGGTGGGAACTGTGCCAGTGGACAGGGAGAGGTTTTTGATGATGTCCATTAGAAGGGTGCAAGGAGGTAGAGCTGAGAGGTAAGGAGAGGGGTAGGGATGGGGTCAAGGGAGAAGATGGTCAACTAATAAAAAGGGACTACAGCACAGAGTGGGGTACACAGTGACTACAGCACAGACTGGGGGTTGGCACACCGTTAATACACAAAAGTGAGGAGGGAGGGGGCAAGGCGGACAAATTAAGGAAAAGTGTTCCAGAGTTTTGGGGCGATGGTGGAACAGAGGGGATGAGGGACAAACAGGTGCCAGCCAAGTGGAGGCAATGGATGGTGGAGTGGGGGGGAAGCAGGTCGGATGGCTAGGGAGGTGAAAGGGCATGAAGTGATTTGAAAATGAATGAGATCTTGAAATTGATCCATTTGGCAATGGGGAGACAGTGAAGCCTGGGGAGGGCTGGGGTGATGGGGGCACGGAGCTTAGTGTGACAATGCTATGACTTACCCAGAATGACCCCCATCATTGTGAGGATCACAAAGGCATTCCTCTTGAAATAGTTTGCAACATCTTTCCTGGTGATCCTCGCGACCCTTTTCTTTGCCCTGATGCCATGTTTGCGGATTCCCTGCTGCACCTGCTCCATTGTTCTGGCAGCAATGCTGTCGTCGTTGCTGCTTTTGCTCATTTACACAGAGCTTGGTACCACACTGCAGATCTGCTTGTGAACCAGAGATTAAGAGACCTTTAACCCTTGCAGTTAGGAGAGACCTGAAGACCTTTCACCTGATACAGCCGAGACCTATTTTTCCTTTTTCATATAAACATTGCACGAGAGTCAGTAATAATACTTGCATTTGTTTTAAAGTGTTATCACGTATTCAGCTTCACAGAATATACTGTAAAGTGAATTGACCATAATTTGATGGGCGAAACACAGCAGCCAATTGCGTAAGGCTGTCGCACAAACAACTGAGGGTTGAGTGAACAAATTTTTATTATTATGTATTTACTTTTGAAGGATTATTAACCCTGGAAAAGTGATCCACCAATCGACAGATAAACAGAGCCATGGAGTAAGGAAAGTTGCCTAAGGTATTGCTCTGCCCAGGAATTGAATCCAGGTCCTCTCACTTGTGAAGCGAGTTCTCTCAATAATAAGCAACAAGACTCCACATCAGGCACACGGCGGCAGGAGACGAGGCACAGTGAGCAACAATCGATATTGAACCGGGGAGAGCCGCACAGCTTCAGCACCTGAGGCACCACCTGCAAACCACTGCTGCTTCACCACAGCATCACCGCAGAGCATCACCACAGAGCTTCACCACAGCATCACCGCAGAGCATCACCACAGAGCTTCACCACAGAGCATCACCACAGAGCTTCACCACAGAGCATCACCACAGAGCTTCACCACAGCATCACCGCAGAGCATCACCACAGAGCTTCACCACAGAGCATCACCACAGAGCATCACCACAGAGCTTCACCACAGCATCACCGCAGAGCATCACCACAGAGCTTCACCACAGAGCATCACCACAGAGCATCACCACAGAGCTTCACCACAGAGCTTCACCACAGAGCATCACCACAGAGCTTCACCACAGAGCTTCACCACAGAGCTTCACCACAGAGCTTCACCACAGAGCTTCACCACAGAGCATCACCACAGAGCATCACCACAGAGCTTCACCACAGAGCATCACCACAGAGCATCACCACAGAGCTTCACCGCAGAGCATCACCGCAGAGCATCACCACAGAGCTTCACCACAGAGCATCACCACAGAGCATCACCGCAGAGCTTCACCGCAGAGCTTCACCGCAGAGCATCACCGCAGAGCATCACCACAGAGCTTCACCACAGAGCATCACCACAGAGCTTCACCACAGAGCATCACCACAGAGCTTCACCACAGAGCATCACCACAGACCATCACCACAGAGCATCACCACAGAGCTTCACCACAGAGCTTCACCTGACACACCAGCGCTGGAGAGACGGCTAACCTCAACACAGCATTCAACAGGTACACCAACATTATACACCAGCCCTGTACACCAGCCCTATACACCAACCCTGTACACCAGCCCTATACACCAGCCCTATACACCAACCCCACTACACCAACCCTGTACACCAACCCCATGACACCAACTCAGCTACCCTACTATGCCAACACAACTACACCAACCCCGCTACACGAACCCCACTACACCAACCCCACTACACCAGCCCTATACACCAGCCCTATACACAAGCCTTGTACACCAACCCCAAAACACCAACCCCAAAACACAAACCCCTATACATCAAGCCCACGACACCAACCCCACGACACCAACCCCATACCGCAGCCCCACTACCCCAGCCCCACTACACCAACCCCACTACACCAACCCCACTACACCAGCCCCACTACACCAGTCCCACTATACCACCTCTACTGTACCACCTCTACTACACCAACCCCGCTACAAGAACCCCGTTACACGTACCCTGCTACACCAACCCCGCTACACCAACCCCATGACACCAACTCAGCTACACCAACCCCACTACACCAACCCCACTACACCAACTCCACTACACCAACCCCACTATGCCAACACAACTACACCAACCCCACTACACCAACCCCATTAAACCAATCCTACTCCACCAATGCTGCTACACCAGCCCCATTACACCAACCCCACAACACCAACCCCACTACACCAACCCTACAACACCAACTCTACTACACCAAACCCACTACACCAACCCCACTACACCAGCCCCACTACACCAACCGCACTACACCACCTCTACTACACCACCTCTACTACACCACATCTAGTACACCAACCCCGCTAAACCAACCCCGCTACACCTACCCCGCTACACCAACCCCATGACACCAACCCCACGACACCAACCCCACTACAACAACCCTACTATACCAACACAACTACACCAACCCCACGACACCAATCAACAACAACAACAACAAGATTCCATTTATAGAGCGCCTTTCATGTCGGGAGGACGTCCCAAGGCGCTGTACATACGGGTCAGGACCCGAGCATTGGGGGGAAATGGTCAGGGTGAGGGGAGCGAAGGGAGGGAGCGAGGAGGGGGTAGAGAGTTGAGAGGGGAGCTGAAGGCACGGTCAAAGAGAAAGGTCTTGAGACCGGCCTTGAAGGAGGAAGGAGGAAACGGCGAAGGCACCGGGCGATGGAGTTCCAGAGCCTCGGGGCTGAGAGACTGAAGGCCNCCGATGGTCGGGCGGTTGGGGCGGGGAATGTGGAGCAGACCGGAGCCAGAGGAACGGAGGGTACAGACAGGTACGTAGGGGGATAGCAGGTCAGAGAGGTAGGAGGGAGCGAGGCCAGGAATGGCCTTGTAGGTAAGGATGAGGATCTTGAATTCGATCCTCTGGGAGATGGGGAGCAGTGGAGGCGAGCGAGGGTGAGGATGAGGGCGAGGGTGAGAGTGAGGGTGAGGGTGAGGGTGGGAGTGATGTGGTCGCGGTGTCTGGTGCGGGACAGTACACGAGCTGCAGAGTTCTGAATGACCTGCAGTGTGGAGGGAGGGCCGGGAAGGCCGGCGAGGAGAGAGTTCTCATAGTCCAGCCTTGAGGTGATAAAGGCGTGGACCAGAGTTTCAGCCGCGTGAGGGGTGAGTTAGTGCCGTAGTCTGGTGATGTTCCAGAGGTGATGGAAGGCGGTGCCAGTTGTGGTGCGGATATGAGGGAGAAAGGACAGCTCAGGGTCGAGGGGAACCCCGAGGTTCCTGATGGCTTTGAGAGGTGGAGAGTGCGGAGCTGATGCTGTCAGCGCCTGAGGTGCGGAGACGCTGACGTGAGCCAATCAGGAGGGCCTCGGTTTTTCGCACGTTGAGCTGAAGAAAGTTGTCTCTCGTCCAGGACTCGATGTCGGACAGACAGCTGTCAGGACATCGGGGGTCGTGGAGTTGAGGGTAGAGTAGGAAAGGTAGAGTTGGGTGTCATCCACATACATGTGGAAGTTAATCCCATGTCATCACAGGGGTAGTATATAGAGGGTGAAGAGGAGGGTACAGGGAGTGAAGGGATTTGAACACGAGAGTGAGAGGGTCTTGAAGTCGATGCGTTGGGTGATGTCCCCATGTCAATGGAGCCTGGGCCAGAGCTGGTAAGATATGGGTGTGGAGTTTGGTCGGGGTTAGTATGTTGGCGGCAGAGTTTGAATGAGCTGATCTTGTGCATAGTGTTCAGTGAGTCTGAGGAAGAGCCCAGGGAGGTTGAGGAGTTTAGATCCGTTGGGGTGAAGACGATAATGGGAACCAAGGAGTATGGCTTCCGTCTTGTCCACAGTCAGTTACAGGAAGGTAATACGTTTATAAAAGATCTTAGGGTTCCTTTTGATATTACCCGCTAACCTTTTCTCATACACTCTCTTTGTCCCTCGTATTTCATTTTTCAGCTCTCCTCTGCACTTTCTGTATTCTGCTTCATTCTCTAACATATTTTGAACCTGACATTTATCATAAGCTTGCTTTTTCTGTTTCATTTTAATCCAGATTTCTTTAGTCATCCAGGGAGCTTTGAATGTCCTTTCCCCTTCATCGGAATGTGTTTAGTCTGTATCTGAATATCTCCTCTTGCAGGCCTTACATTGCTCGTTTATTGGTTTACCCATCAATCTTTCTTTCCAGTCGACCTTGGCGAGCTCCCTGTTTAACTCACTGAAATTAGCCTCTTCCAGTTGAGTATTTCACCTTTGATTGCTCACCTTTCCATAAGTACTCTAAACCTAATGATGTTGTCTCACTGTTGTCCAGATGCTCTCCTACTGAAACCTGCTCCACTTGCCCCACTTCATACCCCAGAACTAGATCCAGCACTGCTTCCTTCCTCGTTGGGCTGGAAACGTACTTATCCAGAATGTTCTCCTGTGCACATTTCAGGAATCCTCCCCCTCCTTGCCCTTGACACTTTTTTTCCCACTGAATCCTCCCACTCAGCTCCTGTTAACCCTGTAAGCTAAAGCCCTAACAGATGAAGTGGTCCCAGCTGGAATTGGACAAGCAGCGGGAAAGCTTGCCAGACAGTGATATCAGTGGCATGCTATGTGGTTAGACTCCAGTCGTAACACATTGTACACTTTGAGGTCCCCAAGCCTGGGCTTTTGCCAACCTGCACCTAATACTCTCCGGAATTAGGTAAGCTGTCTCTCCAGGGAGAGAGAGAGCACATTCCATTACAACAATCTATCTCTGGGATTTCCATGTGTAGGTGGATACATGTAAATCTCAGCTTGGTTTTACTCTTAATAATAATAATAATCCTTGCATTTGATATAGCGCTTTTCACGTCGGGAGGACATCCCAAAGCGCTTCACAGAACACACTGTAAAGTGAATTGACTGTATATTTGTGGGCGAACGTGGCAGCCAATTGCGCACAGCAATGTCCCACAAACAGTCGTGGATTGAAAATGACCAATTTATTATTGTTTTTGGTTTTGGAGGGAATATTATTAGGCTCTGTGTGGAGTAAGGAAACTCGCCCAACGTTTTGCCCTGACCTGACTGGAATTGAACTTGCAATTGAAATTGCAATTGAACTCGTTTGCAAAGCGAGTGCTCAACCCCTGAGCTACAGGACTCCAGTGGATAACAACACCATCTCTCTTTCATCCATGATAATGCAACATTCTCTCTCCGACACTCACCTCAGT